TGTGGTAGGTGGCGGTGCCACATTACAAAATTGCCCTTTTACCTTAGTTCATTAATTGGGGGTCAAAATAACACTTATATTCATTTTGTGTGATTGGTGGGACTGTTTGGTGTTTGGGCTTTTTGGATTCTCACAACAAGAGGTGAAAAGAGGCGAGTTAGTGAAAACTTAGATGGGTGCTAGTCAAACCTTCATCAAAACTGCTGCTGAAAAATAATTTTGAAAAAATTTCCATCACGATTATGTAATTACCATACAAATATGTAGATACAACAGATAAGAAATGCTACAATAACTTCAAAATTCTTTTAGTATACCAGTTTTGACGTGAAAACTATCCCTTAATGTGCTCTTACTCTCTTCATCCAATGTCCTCCTCCTCTTCCTTCTCTAACTTATCTTTCAGAGTCCACAAGCCTGAAACTCACATGAGATGAATCTTTTTTTTCTGCAGGTTTCTATATATTTCAGCATTATTTTGATGGCCCTGTTTGCCTCCATCATAGCTACCTCCATCCTCGAGATGAGCTGGGGGAAAGTCGATCTTGACGATTGGTGGAGGAACGAGCAATTCTGGGTGAATGATTCATCTCTACCCTTGCCTCAAGGGAATGATGAGAAGGGGAAATAGAGTTCCCACCATTGTTGTGGTTTGGTCAATCCTCCTAGCTTCTGTTTGTTCTCTTTTGTGGGTCAGGTTGAATCCATTTGTGTCCAAATCAGATGGCCCTGTATTAGAAGTTTGCGGTTTGGACTGCGATTAGGTGCAATGTTAAGGGCTTGTTTGGGATGGCTTTTATTTTTTTGCTATTTATTTATTTTTTTCTTTTATTTAAAAATTCATTTGTTTAGTGAATTTTCATATTTATATTTATAACACTTTAGTATTAAAAATTTATGCATGAAATGTATAATTATTTTTAAAAAGTTAGTGATATTGATATGATTTGAGTGGTGTATATGTAAATATGAAAGTTTAGGTGTTAGATACACAAATATGTATGAATTGTGTGGTATGTATGTAAATCTTTCTGGAAATTGCAGACATGGGATTTAAAAAAATTCAATTTTATTTGTGGAATTATTAGTTGATTATATTTATAATATTTTTTTTGTTTTTAATTGATAATCTGCAAAAATAATCTCATTAGTAGACTATATATATATATATATATATAATGAAATTTAATCCAATAATAGTAATCAAACATTATAGAGGAAGGTTTGATTTTCAATTTGAAGGACTTGGCACCAATAATAAAAGCAACATAAATACTAGGGTTAAATTAAGTGTACTTAAATCCTCAATCTTAAACCCTAAATAACACAATATTGTACACATAAGAATGTATCTACATGAATCTCAAAGCAGATGGGCGACTTGGGAAGGAAACATAACCGATTGGATGTAGCAATATAAGATCGTTTTTAGATGAGCAGCAACAAAGAAAATACATTATCGAACGATCAACAAAAGATGTCAAAAGAAAGTACCTCAAGATGGACATCACCTTTCAGAACGATCGATGAGAGCACTTCTTCGGACCATGAATCGATCGAACCAAGATCTATTAGACGATCGGCGATCCTTATCGATCGAATAGATCCTAGGCTTTATAAAAAGCAAATAATCTTATAAATTACCAAAAGGCCCCCTGAAAATTTAATGATTAGGGGGGCTAATATGAGTTTTGTAATATTGAGACCTAGGCCTATAAATATGAGTCCATATTATGAATAAATGACACATTTTACTTGTCTACTATTAAGGCTTTATAAAAAGCAAATAATCTTATAAATTACCCAAAGGGCTCCTGTAAGATTAATGATTAGAGGGTTAATATGTACTTTTGTAATATTGAGACTTAGGTCTATAAATAGGAGTCCATTTTATGAATAAATGACACATTTTGCTTGTCTACTATTACTCTTTCAATCTCTCTCTCTCTCTCTCTCTCTCTCTCTCTATCTATATATATATATACATATTTATGAATCATTGTTAATCTTCCTAGATAACATTATATCATTTAAGTAGTTTGGCAGATAATATTGTTCTATGAAGAGATTGTTATCCAGATAACATTGCTGTTTAAATAATAGGGAGATTTACATAACAACCGCCTAATTCCTACATATTAACATATTAACTGCCCAAATTTCAATTTTTTATACACAGATCACAGAAGTTATGCCAAAAACATAGGAAACAGGGGCCTGTTCGTAAAAATGAAGTTTTGAACGTTGAAATGTTAAAACATAAGAATTGGGTGGTTGGTATGTAAAGACCCCTATATACTATCGACCAAATAACCGTTAGAGATGAATTTTTGTTTATACAAGTTGGCTTATTTTCCGCATATATGCTTTTTAAATTTATTCAAGAAGATTTCTCAGCTTCATGTTTCCAAATCTTTATCTTTTGGAGATTTTGAGCCAAAATAAATCATTGTAAAGATAAATAATTCACATAAATGAATGTTTTGCCACAAATCAATATTTGAATTTAATGTTGATATTGCTTTCATTTTCACTTTTAACTATTTCTGTTTGTTGCAGTTAGCAGCAGCTGGCAGAAATCCCCCCGTCTTTTGCATAATTACGGAATATCTTTCCGGCGGCTCCTTACGGGCATTTCTTCACAGATTAGGACATGAATCCCTTCCACTTCAGAAACTTATCTCCATCGCACTCGATATCGCTCAGGGAATGGAATACATTCATTCTCAGGGGGTTATTCACCGTGATCTGAAGCCCGAAAATATTCTCTTTGATCAGGACTTTTGTGTAAAAATTGCTGATTTTGGAATTGCTTGTGAAGAGGCATGTTCAGATCCACTGGCTGAGGATCCCGGAACTTATCGTTGGATGGCGCCCGAAATGATTAAACATAAACATTATGGCAGGAAGGTTGATGTCTACAGCTTTGGATTAGTTCTTTGGGAGATGGTTAGTAGAAGAATTCCATACGAGGATATGACGCCGGTCCAAGCCGCTTTTGCAGTGGTTGATAAGGTAATTTTCATTTTTTTGGTGGGGGCATTTACATACATTCCACCCAATACATATTTAACATCTAAACTTTGATATTTACATGCATACACTCAGAATCTCTAACATCATAACAAAAATACCACTATTACTAACTTTTTTAAAGTAATATACACATTTTCATGCATTATAGCTGTAAATTTTAAGCTTTAGGTGTTAGATATGTAAATGTATAAGAATTGTGAGGTATGTATGTAAATCTCTCTTTCTTTTGCTATTATCTAATATTTGTTTTCCTTCAATGCTCTGTGAATTTCACTTTATTTTCTTTTATTATTATTAATTTTTTTTGTTATAAGGCCTTAATTTTCTTAGCTTGAAATTTGTGATTGGACCCTACATCAAGTTCATTTTCAGGCCCAATTAATCTCACTTTATAATGCGTTGATAAAGATTGTAGGGTCCATATCCATCAATTTTATATAGACTATACAAATGGATATGTAGCCATGGATCTGAAAGTCAAATATTTCGTGCTTGGATAGCACATTTTGATATTTTAGCATCACTAGTTCACAAGTTTCAGTGTTCATTTGGCTTCTCATTAGCTATTGGATTTATTGAGAATTATTAAAATTATTTATTATTGTATAATTGAAGCATATATCTAGTATTTATAGTAAGAATATATTTTCATATAAATATTTGGTTGTATTTCTAATATTTATGATATTTATTAGTGTAAAGTATCTTCATTATTAATGATGTGCTTTTTTATTGTATTTTATTTAGTGTTGTCATTTAGGGCTAGAAGATATTGGTGTGGTAGGTGGGCTACATGAGGAGAATTGTCAGGGTAGGTGGGGTTTGCGGCTAGTCACAAGTGAGTTAATAGATGAAGAAACATGACAACTAAACACTAATTTATTCTCGTTGGCTGGACTGCTATTCTAATTATAATCAAATTTATTATAACTTATATATTTGATTATTATTCGTATCGAGTTATGATTTGTCCAAAGGTATCAAAATCAACTTGAAATTGATTCAATTGCTATTTAAATTTGGTTTATGAAAAGCTAATGATGAATTTTGGTATAAACATGTATATTATTATATTAAATAGGTATATTTGCATTAGTTGAGATATAATGAACTATATTGAGTGATTGACTCACATTGACTCATGTTTAAGCCAATTATTTTGAGCTACAAGATAAATATGGTAAATTCAGGTCAAATAAATTTAAATATGTATATTTGTATTAATTGAGATGTATTGATCTTAAAAAATAAATGATTCATGGTGAGTCAGAGTGCATGATAGTCATGGAAAATTCAGGTCTAGTAAATTTTGGTCTAAATAACTTTAAGTTAGATCGAAACTTGACCCATCAACTCGAATTTGCATTATTAGTTTTGGAAAAGCCTAACTATGACCTTTGCTATAAGAAAATGCATTAGGCTATGAAGTCTTTTCATGGATGGCTCCTAAAGGTATGTCTAGGCTTGGAGCATCTTCATGATGACAGTCATTGGATATAACTCGTGTAAGGTTTTCAAAAACCGCACCCGACCTTTCAATTCCTCATCAAATCCCCACTTACCACATTAATTTCATTTTATAACCCTAACATTTCTAACCCTAAATAGGTTAAAAATTCTTACATGAACAAGCACAATGCCTTCTTGAAGATTCACTAGCGGAGCCAACCATAAAGATGAAGTGTTCGTGGCCTACCAGCATTGTGCCATCCTAGTTACCATTAATTATCAAATTATATGTGTAATGCAGTTGAAAGTCAAACAACCAATTTATTCTCAATATCATCAAGAAATTTTATACATCAATTGTAACAAAATTTTCTTCTCAAAATTCTTTAATCTTCACTTTATCTTGCATTTAGAAGAGAAGCAAATTGAACATAAATGAAGAAAGCTCTGCAAAAAAGAAAATTTCTTTTATTTTATTGCTCCTTGTATACTACTATACAATTTAATGAAGTGAAATTAGGGCATGTTTAGTACTATTTTCCTTAAATAGGTTTCAATAGTGCTTTCTAATTATTTATTTATTTATTGCTATTGGAAATAAATCAAATTATTTAAGAATATAGATAACTTTTAGACATATTTTTATTTTTTTCAAAATATGAATTCTCTTGGTGAAACCAAATAGTGGGAGAGAGAGAGAGGCAAAGATTTTATCTCTATTCTCAAGTAAGATTTAGATATTTATACGAGATAAAATTGATAATACAAAATATTGTATTATAGGTGTTGAAGATTTACATGAATTAAAATGAGAATAAATAAACAATTAATTATGGATAAAGATGGATTTGTTAAAGAATGATTCTTTGATAAAATGTTAAAGATAAAAGTGCATCAAGTCTAAGAAAATTATGATATTCTTTGTTATCACAAGTTTGATATTCACATCATTTGAGATTAATAATGTGATAGTCCAATTAATATGTAGGATTAATGAAATAAGTTTTAAGTTTTATTCATCAAAGATGATCTTTTTTCATATTAGAGTATTATTTTAGAACATAAAAAAATGTCATTTTAGTTTGTTAATTCTTCACATATCTAGCGCTCATAATTAATTTGGATTGCACTTCATATTAACAAGAATATCAGTTGAAAATTACTCAATTAATTAAAATTATAGAAATAATAATAATTGATGAATTGATTTTTTTTTGGATAATTGTTGAATTAGATTAGCAAAGGATTATGACAAATTGGTTCCTTAAAATGTGCAGGAGAAACATAATAGGGTAACATTTGAATTCTTTTGGTGGTTTGGTTAAGATATATAATTTCATCTATATTATTTTAGAAGAATTTATAATTAAAAAGCAATTCATGAAGTCATTGAAGTGAAGTAGAGGAAACTTATAATATAATGATCTCATTTGATTTTATTTTATTTTTTCATTTTTTGTTAGAAAAATTAAAATTACAAATGATATTTACTTAGAATTATAAAATAAGTTACAAAACATTTTGAATGGATGCATGTAATATCAATATCAAAACATCTTCTTTAAAATTCAAGAGAAATATAAAATTGTAAGAGATAAATAACATGTGTGAAAAATCTACTATAGAATTATTGATTCTTAATTCTGTTTTATACATGCAACGGCCTAAACTCTCAACCTTCGAGATACTGTCCACTTTGGTCTAACATCCTTACAATTTTGACCCATTAGTGTAACTTCTCATGAGGTCACTCATTTCAAGAGTGATCTCATATGAGCACAATTAACTTTGGAGTTTCTATCAAAATCCACTGTTACACCAAGATGTGCTTTAATGTTTAAGAGTTCAACATTATTTTACTTGAAGGTTTTCACAATCTTCCTCACTTAACTAACTGACGTTCACGTCATTGCTCTAAACCCAAAATCATCCACCGGGTGGAAAAAATTCTAGAGGCGACTCTTAAAGATTTATGATATGGCTCCCATCATGCAACACTTTGGCATATCCAACATTCAAGAGGTAGCTTTCATGGTGTAAAACTTTATCCTGCAAGACACCGAGTTCTCATGTTCAGCCTAGTGCAATGCTCTAATATCATTTTTAACTTAAGAACCTAGAGTCTTATCCATCAAGATATTGTCCACTTCAGCATAGTGGCCTCACGATTTTGTTCCATTGATGTCACTTTCTAGTCCTAGGAAGTTACCCCAATGGGACAAAACAATGTGTTGGCCACTAGGCAGAAGCGAACAATATCTTGATGGATAAGACTTTGGGTAGTTTCAACATATTCGTGATAGATATCATTCAAAATTGATGATATTTGTTAACTTGTTGATAAATTTTATATTGATTACTTCACCCCTTAAAAGTTCAATTAGAGAATTTATAAATTGAAGTTCATCATGGTAAGAAAAATTTTAATCTCTCAATATATTTTTTTTTATTTTTGTCAAATATTAGTTAAAATAAGAAATTAATTATATATCCCCTCATTGATCATATGCTTAGATTTACCTTGACACAATCAAATTCAAAAATAACTAAATATGCATTTTGGTTATGAAGATTGTTAATACAACGTTTTAAAATTAAATGTAATATTATTTTCTTCCTGTTTCATTGATAATATATATATATATA